GTCAGTAGATGGATTGGTCTGGCAGCAGGAGACATGAACTCGATTAACAAGAGCATTTGGAGATGTCATTACATATGAAGAAAGACCAAGCTTTACGTAAGCAGAACCTGGGCACTATCTAGTGTCTTGGAGTCTCGTCTTGATGCCTTTTGTAAAAAGTCCTTTCGCCGGGTCATGGGGTACGATTGGCAGGACCATGTATCCGACCGACGTCTATGCCGTGAGATTGGCAAGGGACCTGTTACTTGCATAGTCCGGGACCTCCATATGGGCTATAGGGACACCTAGCTCGTGTCCCTTTGGATGACCTTGCTCATCAGGTTGCCTCTTTACGAGACAATCCTGGACGGAGAAGGCCCTTGGGACGACGTTGGCTCGACCAGTCCTGTTAGTGTTAGGAGTTAGTTTGTGTGTATATATTTAAACATACACACACATGCACTTGTTTATATACACATATATTTACCAGGGGCTTTTACTTGGGGGGCAGGGGGTCGGTGTGCAAAGTGAGCACAACTAGCTTGGGGCAAGGAGAATAACACTCAGTAGACTATAAACAAAGTCCTATTGGATTAATGATAAGTCTATATTGATTGAATGTTATCGTGTATTTAAAACTTCTATTTATAACTTTTTTTTCTGGTATTCACGGATAATATACATACATTTATGTTGCTGTTGTAGTTCTCCTATCACAAGTTGCAGAACAATTTTATGGGAAAAGAGTGAGTACCGTGGTACTGTCGGCACTGATGTGATCACAGTGCATGCACGTTTAGAAGCAAGCATATGCTCTTAAATCTTTTGGTTTAGGGGCAAATCTAGTATTTATGTATATAAATATACAGTATTAAGATATACAAAGATCGGTGATAACCAGGGGCGTCAACTCTACTCTGCTTTGTATGCCTATAATCAAATACAATTAGCTCTAAAAGCTGTTGGGGTGTGGCCCTTAAGGAGGGAAGGGGGGGGGCTGCCCCCTCCCCAAATTGACGCCCCTGATATTTACACACGCACACACACACACACACACACACGTGTGTGTGTGTGTAGTTACATTTGTCAGTACGTATAAATATCAATATATATATATATATATATATATATATATATATATGTATATGTATAAACATATGTCAGTACATATAAATATCAATATATATATATATATATATATATATATATATATATATATATATATATATATATATATATGTATGTATATGTATAAACATATGTCATATATACATATACATATATATATATATATATATATATATATATATATATATATATATATATAAATACATATATACATATATACTATATATATACATATATATTATATATACATAAATATATATATATATATATATATATATATATATATATATATATATATATATATATATATGTACGTATACATATGTGTGTGTGTATATGTGCGTGCATTTGTGCGTAAATGTATACAGATGCATAGACATTTATATATATACATATATACATATATATATAAATATAAATAAATAAATAAATAAATGTATATATATACACACAGATGTATAGATGTGTATGTATACACACACACACACATACACACATATATAGATATGTAAATGTAAATAAGTGTAAATAAGTGTATATATATATACACACACAGGTATATAGATGTGTATGTATATATACATATATATGCACACACACACACACACACACACACACACACACACACACACACACACACACACACACATATGTATTAACGTTTCCTTATGAACCAAATATCCTCGTGTCAGATAACATAAGAAAACATATGATGCATAATGGAGAGGCGAGGCATACAGAGTTGTCAAATTTCAATAGAAAGAAGAAAACTCAATGTGGATGCTTTATAAACCAGTTAAACTGCGTCACCAATATATGAAGGTAAATATGTTTGACCAAAAATGGTCCTTATGATTAATGATTCGTTTAAATGCCAGGTTTAATAATATGAAAACTGCTCTAAAACACAACACCCAAAGAAACGTGGAAATGTTTGTGATTCGGGAGAGCAAACCATTGCTATTAGTAAGCTATTAATAAAGGAAAACAGTGAAGTTTCCCTTAAAAAGAAAGAAAGAAATAAAAAAAAAAAAATCCGGACATCAGAGCTTCAAAATATAAAAACGTAATTTTCTTAGCCATCTGGAATTTCAAACTCCCAAAGCAGAAATATATAATTTCTCTATAACAAATCCCTCCCTTGAATGAACCTCTTCGGCTGGAGCAAGATTCAAAGAAAGAATAAAACCATTTCATAATATTGATATTTCAGTACAGATTAACTGATGAACAAAAACAAAAGAAAATTAAATAACAATAATAATGATAATAATAAATCCTATCTTTTTTATCCATATGAATATATCAAAACAAAAAATCGAGGAATATCATCAATACCGATGCTTTGATAAGTCATTAACTAATACAGGAGCTAATACATAATATCCACGAACTAATACATAATATAACTAATACATAATATCTAATACATAACTAATAATAATATAATAATAATAAACATAATAACTAATACATAATAACTAATACATAATATCCACGAACGTTCACACACAATTCTAAGACTAAAATTTGACTGTCAAAAGTGTGTAACAAACGAATGGGTCTGTTGCCACATGTTCACTTATATTATTTTATGTATGTTAGGTTTTATTTAAAATGAACGTGTTCATGACTGCATTAGCATAATAACAGTTAAGACCATATTCGCCACTTTGAGCAATACAAATGTATTAATCTAGTCTATTTGTTGATATTTTATGAGTGTCCCCACGCTCAGATTACGTCTGCCTCAGACAATTTTGACAATCTCAAATTTTAGTCTCTGAAATGTCTAGGAAAATTCGTGGTTACCGCTCCAGCTCCCTCTAGATCCAACTTTAAAAAAGTACATAAAATCCCCACCCAGTTCCATTAAGCTTTCGGTATTTATTTTCTTTTACATCCGTATATGCATGGTTGCACATTTACGACCACGCAAACATGAAACTCAAATTTCAATCAATTGACCGCACCTTATACGGTACAAGTCATACATGAAAAATACGTTGAATTTAATGAAGACTAATATATTGCAACATGATATGCCATGAATTATAATGTCATATACATTATATATTCAATTTGTCTTTAATATATTTATCTAACAGTTATCACATCAAGTAACCACATATTTCAATTATTATGGATATCATTGATACAACTACTGTTGTCACTGTTCTTATATCTATCATTATTGTTTACCGCTGTCATGAATTTGTTATTACTATTACATTATTGCTATTATTACCATCATCATCGTTATTTTCATTATCATCATTGTTATCAATTATTAAATATTATTTTCAAAACCAATATCATTGTTATCATTACCATCATCACTAAAGCTGTTGTTGTTGTAATCATATCATTATAATTGTTGTTACTATTGTCATCATTGTTTTACTGAATGTGGGAACCGCACAAATTTAAACTAAACTAAATAATAAGCAGATACGGTGCCCAACTTGGTGTTCATATGGAAATTGTATCATTATAATAATCATAAACTTTAGGAATACCATCTGTTAACTCCAAGTGCTATGTTTCAACAAAAGAGAGAGCTAAAATGATGAGGCTACAATCACGTGCCATGTTTCCTTAATTTCCTTAATTACGTTAACTGGAAACTATGTTCATGGCAGACTTCATGGCAAGAGCTTTAAGAAATTAAACTTGCGATCATCCTTTATCGATGCAAATTAACAATTAAGAGATTTAACTCAATTATTTCATCTGGTATGGACAAACAATTGATCAGTACCCCCGCTGAAACCGTCACACATAATAACATCAATTGGTTTCGATAACCTACTGATCCCGAGAATAATAATAATAATAATAATAATAATAATAATAAAGTTCCTGTACAGTACTGAACAAAAAAGCTAGAAGTTTAATAATTCACTTACCATGGCGTAAGTGGCACAGAAGTGGAGAGAACGAAAATATAGATAGTGCTAAGCTCTCATTTTAGGCACATCGCTGTCCACTGTAATTCCCCCCCCCCCCCCCCCATCACCTCTTCAATCGGCTTCACGGTTTTTTATTTAATCTCATGGGAGGACGAAACCTGTGTCACATTGTGCAAACACCAGTACACAATTTTATTCTTAATAGCTTTAACACATTTTTTAAAACCAGAAATTCTGACTCAAACCTACAGAAACAGTTCACTTTCCCTAGGAAGCGACTGAAAAATCCCAACGAGCAAAACAAAGGAAAATTTCGCCTTGGTTATATACATATTACTGTAAAATACTCGTTAACATTAGAAATGATATATAGTTTGTCCACCGGAGAGTAAATAATAAGTGTGGGCATTATTTTCTTTTTTTGGTATATTCCTGTCTGGCATTAATATATATTATTCAATAATTTGCTTTTAATGATTAACATGTTTACTCTCATAATCATCAAAGTACTTAATATTATTATCGGTGTTCATGATTGTAGCAGGGTTTGTCAAGATTGTTACGAAAAGTATTATATTAGCTAACTGAATAATAAAAATGATTATTACAGTATAGTGCTTATTTACTCAGTAAGAGAAAATAAAGCTAAATCAAAGAAATTATCAATTTCGCTCTAAATAATAGACATCTAAGGGAAGGCGTCAAATACTTTGTCTTCAGTAATTCATACATACATACGTACATAATATATATACATATATACATACATATATTTAAATATATAATGTGTATGTTCATATGCTCGCATGTAACTACAAATATTTTTGGTGTGCGAATAAAGCAACATGGAGATTATTTTAATATCAACAATATATAAAAAAACTAAGCCTTCGATACAAACTTCTTTATTGGAAATGGTGTGGACAGTCGGTATGTTTAATGTCTGGCAGAGAGCTTACATTCCTTTATAACTGAAGCCCTTTAGAAATGGCCCCCGAAGATTGAAGGGGGCTTGCATACGTGTTCCTTGAGACACCTGTCATAGCAACACTTGTCAAGGTTGGCACACTTGTAGTCGTTGGAGCAGCGTACAGGTGCCCCAGAGCGGATGCTTTGCGGGCAGGTTGGGCGCACGTCTGGGCACTCTAATAACTTGGTGCCAACAGGCCCTTCTGGTTCATAAGTGGTCTCGCAGCAGTAGGCTTGGCCCTCGGGAGTCTTGCACCAATATCTGCACTCGCTCGGGCCATTGGAGATTCCGCTGCCGATAGGTTGGAAGCCAACTTGGATACCAGAGCCGTGGAAACCACCAGGTTGGATCCCTCCTCCGTGGACACCACCAGGATGGATCCCTCCGCCAAGGACACCACCAGGCTGGATCCCTCCTCCGTGGACACCACCAGCATGGATCCCCCCGCCAAGGACACCACCAGGATGGATCCCTCCTCCATGATGTCCGCTACCATGGAAACCAGCCCCTTGGAAGCCGCCGCCAGGGAAGAAGCCTCCCAGATTGCTTGCCGAGACGGCTACGACGAGGCAGCTTAGAGTCACTGCTTCAATTCCCTGGGGGAGAAGGCAATGGCTGTAACACATGACATGGAAAGGGAGATCCAAGGGAGCTAGCACACGAAGGCATAATCATCATAGTGTGCTTTATACAATCTACAATGCATATTCGTCGTGAACTTCCTATCGCACGAGCTTACACGCCTCAATCTGTGCACACATTAGCAAACAATAATAATTTTGTTACAAAGGATATTCTAGGTGAGACATGCTGATTTTTATTTTGTTTCTGAATTACCCCCTGTGCACAAGAAATGGCGTCGGGGGATTTGAACGCAGGTTAGTGAGATTGCTGGACGAGATCGCTACCGCTGCACCTCACAGCACACAGCACATGGGCCATTAACAAGAGGACTGGTGCACACAAGTCGTTTTGTAGGCACGCTCTAGGCTGGCTTCAAAACGTTTTATTAACGATATTGCTGAATAAAACTATGGTGCATATAGCGAGGACTATAGATCCTGTGTCCACGAAAAAATAAGTAATCTAGAAGAATGTGGGTTAGGTAGTGAGTCTTAAGTCTGGTTCTATAGTCAATGTCAGTCACGTGCGGCATTTAGGTTACTGAAACTAAAAGGATTTTTGAATGGATAATGATCCAAGTAATGTGAACTTAGATTACAGGGAACTTTAGTTAAAAAAGATGCACTGTTATTACGTAATAGCGTTAACGCAACAGTATATTATGATTTGAGAGTGCATACTGTCAAACTTATTAGAGCACCATACTTGAAGATCATCATGTATTATCAACACGTATCATTTCGTCTTTATTACTCAATTACTTTGATTAACTCAAGAACACATGAAAACATACAAGTGATAACATTCAACTGAAATGACTGTGCCTACACTTCAGCTAATCCTAATGACAGTGAAACGTTTAAATTATCAAATTCAGTTAGTATAACTGTGCCTTCACCTCAGCAAATCTGACAGTAAAACTTTCCTTGTATTAGAGTCAACTGACGTGACTACCTTCGCCTCAGCAAAACCTAAATACATGAAATCAAGCAAATGATCAATTGAAACACTGTACCGTCCCCTCACATATTAGACAATGTTGCCATTCTGGCGATTTTCCCGCTAGATCTAGCGACTTTGAGTTATGATCTAGGGGGAGAATTGAAAGTTTCCTTTTTATCGGGAGAGTGAGTAGCTGTTACTCTAAAGTCTAGTGGTTTTATGGTAATATCAGGGGCAACATTTTCTTAGCTCAGATACTCACCTTCAT